TAGGATGCTCGAATTCGGGCCCCCGACCGGTAGTTCTTCCCTATAGAAGACGAGGGGATGAGAGCCTCCTCGGAATTTGTCAAGCGTGGCGTCCATATCTGAGTTGGCCTTAATGAGTTGGTTGAATCTCCTTTTCACCAATCCAACTGTGTGCCCGTTGAATCCTCCGCTGGAGATAACCATGGTTGCAGGGAAGGATTCCCAAGGACTGTGGGAGAAGAAGTACAGGGGGATGTTCTCTATGTCCGGATAATAGAAGTCTTCCGGCCGTGAGATGCTCATGGAGACCAGAATAAGGTTGAGGTAGGGGGATTTCTTCCCTTCCTCGATGTTCTGGTTTCTGGTGCTTCGTCACGGGCACCTCGTTCTTTTTGTACTGCTTGAGGTGCCCGTCTCTGATAAGTATTTCGATTGCATCCTTGAGATGAATTCAATCCTCCATATTGTATTTGTGGCTCTTGTGGAACCTGCAATACTTGCTCTTGTCGGTTCCTAGCTTGGACGGTGTTTGTTGAGGGAAGCGCACCCCGGCTTGCTTGAATTTAGAATTGGTGCAATCGGAAAGAATACGCTCCCTTAAGGTTGTCAGAGGGGTGTAGTTGTGGAAACGACCGGATGACCGCTTGTAGTCTTTGGAATCATGGGACTTGTCCTCCCGTTTCTTCTCTCCCCAACGGGATGTCGAGGGCTCGTCATTCTTTGAGGATTTGGCACTCTCTATGTTCCTGGATTCTCTGGCGTTGTTGGTTGCTTCCTTCTCCTTGTAATGTAGGTACGCCTGCTCCTTGAGGATGAGGGAGTTGAGCGTGGCTGGCGTCTCTATGCCTACAGCTTTAGTAAAGTCACTACGGGGGCGGAGCCCGCGCTCGAGGAGGTACTTCTTCATGTTGTCCGTTGTTGGAACTTAGACCGGTTCCTTATTGAAGCGTTCATTATATGCTCGCAGAGACTCGTCCCTTCCCTGTATGATTGCTTCCAGTGAAGCCTTCGATTTCAGGTGTCGACGAGAGGCGGTGAAATACCTCAAAAATATCCTCCCAAGCTGTTTCCACGAGGTGATGGATTCATCGGGGAGGATCTTGTACCACGACATCGCCCCCTTCCTGAGAGTGGTTAGGAAGAGTCTGCATTTGATGGCTCCCCTGACCCCTCGGTAGTCGAGGAGAGCGTAGATGTTCTCAATATGATCATTAGGGTTTGTTGTTCCGTTGTAGGTTCCCAATGTGGGCGGCTTCTCTAGGACGATAGGAAGTGGAGCTTCAGTAATCTCCCTTGATAGCGGGCCACGGGGCTCGTCATCCTCACTATCTACGGGAGATGGAGATGGAGAGTGGTAGCTTCTTCCCTGTTAGTTGTCACGGTCCCATCGGGGAGAGGGGCTCCTCTGTTTCTACTTTGGCTCGGGGGAGGACAGTCGAGCACGATCAACTTTCCTGTTGTCTTTCCCCTTCTTGAATGAAGGGGAGTTTGATCTTTTCCAGGAGGTGTGCGGTTACGTTTCTTGAAGAAAGAAACGTTGCGCCTCTCCTTTCTGGGTGGTGGGTCACGCTGGGGTGGAAAAACACTGGGAGAGTTTCATCGTCTGGTTCTTCAAGGAGGAGATCTTGATCCTCTGTTCTCCTAGGCCCTCATCCTTTGATTTTGTTGCAGAATGAGGGAGTTAGTCTGATTAATAGCAGCGAGCAGTGTTGCTATGGTCGGGTCAGTGTTAAGAGGGATGAGAACTGGTTGCATGATTTCTTGCAGTTCTTTAGTGGAATTCTTGGGTCGTCCCTTGTCCAAGAATTGGTCGTCACCGCGTCGGGCGCCCTTTGAATCTGGAGACGCAGTCTGTCTGTCCCGAAAGGCTAGGTTGTCCTCGAGGTGAGGATGTTCCCGACTTTCGTCGGTTTTACGAGCAGGGGAAAGAATGGTCTTTCTGGTCATTGAAGATCATCATGATCGGCCATGATTAGTGAGAAGATTCTTGAAAAAGTTGTTTTGATCTTAGATTTTGAGGAAAGAAAGATGGGGAGAGCAATTCCCACAGACGACGCCACTGATCTTACCGGTTGATCAGAACCTGAGAAGTGGCCGAAAGATGATTTGCAGTCGGGCTGTAAAGTCGAGGAGAAAAAGGGGGTTGTACCTGCAAGGCACTCCGATGATGAAGTAAGAGTGGGAACAAGGAAGTACAAGCAAAGTATAAGGTGGTGAATAATGGATATTCGATACCTGGCCCTCATAGGAGTGAGGGTATATATAATGCCCCTGGCGCGTGGCCATTGATTCCTGATTTCGCGCCTAGATATGCGGGTTCGTGAAATCAGGTAACTGCCAGGACTTGGTCAAACCAGGCAGATGTGCTCGTAACTAGCCGTTGGTTCCGAGGAGGGGACTAGTTACGGGCATCCCTCTGATCGGTTCCTGGTAGTCTGTACGACATTGACGTCGGGCAGGCTAAGGGGATGCTCGTCGATCACCCTGGGTCAGTGCTGGTTCGGGAGGGTAAACAGTTGACATTGCCCAACGTGCAGCGGTCAATCCGGGCCATGGTCGTGTGGACCGTATCAAAGGGAATGTCTATACTGGGCCCACTCTAGCTGTCGGACCAGTCCAGAACAATTTATATATTAAAAATTGTTATCAATACATAGTTTAATTTGTGTCGAGAGTTATATTATAAATCAAGTGCATTCGATTTTTTTAACCCTATGTAGTAAGTTATGACTTTTTAATCACTCAATATTACATATTTTATTTTGAAAAAAATATTCATGAATTTTTCACCTTTGAATATTATATCACTAATATAAAATTATAAGGATAAAAATATAAATTGTTAATAAAATCTCTCCCCTTCCCTCGTGAACCAAATATGTTTTTAATCAAAATCTCTCACTTCTCTTCCCTTCCCCTCATTTGAACCAAACATATCTATAATTAAAAAAATTCCTCCTCTCCCCTCCCCTTCCCTCCATTAAAATCTCCCCCCCCTCATTTGAATCAAACGAAATCTAATGGTACTAATATAACACTTAACATAGGTCAGAGGCCATCATTGGATCATATAATAAATTTTTTAGAATTTTTAGTGCATAAAAGTATTTTTAAAATTAATTAAAATACATGTAAAAGGAAGAAATTAAAAAAAATAGTAAAACAGAAAATAAAATTCTCATAAAATTATACGAAGTGTAAAATGAGAAGAAATATTTTTAAGAATTTTTTTCATAATTTTTAGACTAAAAACGAATTTAATATGAATTTTAGAAGTTAAAAATAAATTAATAAAATAAAAATAAAACAGAAAAAAATCAACATTACATGCATTGGTTAACATAAAAGACTCACATGTAACAAAAAAACATAAAGAACTGAATTGTTATAATTAAATAATTTAAAAATGATTTTACCGAAAAAAAAAGATAAAAAAGATAATTTTATGTACGTTTGTTAACTTAAAGGATCAAATTATTATAAAAAATAATTAAAAATCAATTTATTACAAAAATAAATTAAAGTATTTCTCATGTAATTATGTTTTATTATTATTTTTTAATTATTATTATTATTATTATTATTATTATTATTATTATTATTATTATTATTATTTTATTATTATTTTAATTATTATTATGATTATTATTATTATTATTATTATCATTATCATTATGATTATTATTATCATTATCATTATGATTATTATTATTATTATTATTATTATCATCATTATTATTATTATTATTATTATTATTATTATTATTATTATTATCATCATTATTATTATTATTATTATTATTATTATTATTATCATCATCATCATCATCATTATTATTATTATTATTATTATTATTATTATTATTATTATTATTATTATTATTATTATTATTATTATTATTATTATTATTATTATTATTATTATTATTATTATTAAGTTTTGATGTTACATCTTTTATTTTCATTTAGCTTTTATCATTTGATTTGAGTAACTTTACTAAAGGTTTAAGACTTATTATTCTGTTTTTGTTTGATGTTAAGACTTATTTAAGATGATTTTAGATATAAAATTAAGACTATTAGAGTAATAATTGTGTGCTACAGTCTATTAAAAAATAATTTTTTTGAATTCTTGAAATTTATCCTATTGAAATTTTATTTATATTTTACTAAAATTTTCTTTAAAGATTTTATAATCACAATTTTATTTAAATGTATCGAGAAGATTTAATCATATTTTTTGTCAATTAATATATTTTTTTTATATATTTGAATCAATAATTATACAATCCGACCAATCTGCTTTCTTAATTGAACTGATCATTTATTCAAATTTTGAAATATCGTTTAATTTCCACCAACAATTTTTATTTTTATTTTTTCATAATATATTAACATAAAAAAATTATTGATAGCCATAAATGAATACTTAAAAAAATAATATTTAATGAAATTTATTTTAAATATTTAAAATAAAAATTAAAAACTTTTTTATTAACATTAATATTATAAAAATCACTATTTATTTTGGAAGATATATTCAATATTCAAATTATAAATTCTTTATTAATATTATAGAAACACTGTCACATAATATAGAATAAATAAACTATAAAATAATGTACAAAATTATTATTTATTAAGAATATTGAAAATAAAAATTGAAATAATTGAAATTCAAACGTAAAGACAGGATCCATGTGACATCACAAATTTCTTAATGGTAAGAGAGAAAAATAAATAATACTATATGATGAAAAATAAATATTAATCAAGTAAAGTACAGAGGGGGGGTGACATTGAAGAGTACAAGAATTCTATTCCGTGCATAAAAAAAAACTGGAATAGAAAAACCAAGACTGAATACAACCGTAATAATTAAATCCTCCCAATCCAATTCATTTCATTTCAACTTTTCCTATGTATTGTATTAATCTATCTTTAATTTTGTTTGTAATGGATAATCATAATCACAATCTGTCCCCACCTAATAAAAAAAGCTAAGAATTAATCAGTAAATGTTATTTTGTTTGCCATGCCATTCTATACCCATTAGGCGTGAACGATCCAAACCATTCACGTGTCAACAATCTCAACCTGTCATCCTTAACTTCACAAAACCTGTGTGTCCAATCCTTAGGTTCAACAGCCTCAAACCCCAACCCAGGTGTCCTATCTTGCGAATTCAGATTCACATTCTGTCTCCAATCCACAACATAAGCAGAAACTCTCCTCCTAAACTTGTTCTTAAACTCATCCCACGCTTGGTACTTATAATGATTCACCAAACCTTCTTCCGGACCAATTTGCTTCGATCTAAAACCCTCGTTCTGATTCACCTGAAAATGATGTATCACATTCCATAAACTCTTGTCAACCGCTTCCAACAACACAATGGATTTGTGTCTCTGTTCCACTTTTCTCCGACACGTGTAACCCTGTGTTACACCTTGTACCGGATGTTGTCGTTGTCCTGATGGCCCATATTCTAAACACATGATTGACACCTGTCCTACTTTACCATCCCTATAATAATAATTACCGTCTTCCCGCGGTAACATTGATTTCAACGACGGTAATATTTCATTTTCATTTTCATCTTCTATCTGGGATTCATTTTCATTATCATCAGTAGCGTTCAGACGGACACTACCATTATTAACCCAGGAGGGAGAATACATGAATTCATCAACATCAACGTACATAGTCCAAGTGCATAACCTCTTTGATTTTGAGTAAAGAATGCTATGTGAGAATCCAGCTTCTTGAGTTTTAGGCCAAATCCAAAGCAAAGTGCTTATATTATAACCTTCTTCACGAAGCTCTTTGATTATTCCGTGTAAATCATCATCGCTTCCATTATCATACAATAAGAAATTTTGAACTCCAATTTTTGAATGATACACAACCCATTCTCTTAAGAATTTGGCTACGTTGTAAACCATAGTGCATGCACACAGGAAATATTTGGGCTGGGCTTTTAAATGGGTCTCTGATCTAAACATTTGTGAAGCAAAAGGATAATCATTTTGTTTGGGCTTTAAATTGGGCCTGCCTGTGTAATACGCTACGGATGGAATCACGAGGTTTTTTTGAATAATCTCTAAGGAAACTCCGATTCTCGAATTGGAACGCAGATTGGATGGATCTGGATGATGGCATCGGAAAACCTCTTGAACGGAGCTTGTTACGGCGGTGCGAATTCCGTTACCGATTTGGAAAACGCAGTTGAATTCGTTTGGAGGTAGATCGTAGCCTTGACGATGAGTCACACCTTTGGCGAACAAAACGACGTCGTCTTCTGTAGAAAACGACTCGTAGACGAGAAAATTCCATCTGAGAAGCTCCGGTGCCGGATATTGATCATGCTTTTCATTCTCTGACCTTCCAGTCACCAGCATAGGCTGAGTCAGTTTTCTCCGACGCCGAGCTGGTTCCGGCATGTCGCACTTGAACGTTGAACGGTTGGTGAAAGGTAAAACACCGGAGAATCTCGCCGGAGACATACGATTATTGTCGAATAAGCAGTTAAATTGATCGGAAGAAGATAACAGCGTGTTCGGCGAAACGAGAAGGAGAATCTCCCAATCAGGTAACAAAACCGAAACCGTTGAGAAAGATTTTTCGAAGTTGATGGACGAAACGCGGCGGGATTGATGCTGAAACTCGTTAACCATATGATTTTTCTTTGCATTGGTAGTAACGGAGACATGATTTTTTGCGTTGAGCTTTCTCGGAAGATCGTCGAAGCCGAAATCGGGTTGCCAATTGGAAACGGCGTCACGTGAGAGAAGAAGAGAATAAGCTGCGAATGCAAGAATGGCTAGTAAAAAGATTAAGAGCGTTGTTCGTGGCTTTCGCCTCATGGTTTCGAAAGAGCTATTTATGAATGTTGTTGTTGATGAATTGTTGTAATAATATGAGGATGGGTGTGTAGAATAATCTAATAGTGAAGAAGGTTTCATTTTTGGTGTGAGGTTAATTTTAGTACTTGTGGTGCGTCTTGTTCATAAATAGGAAATTGGGAATATGAAATAATAATCAAAGTATGTGAGTGGTGGTATCACATATTGAAAGAGAAGTCAAATAGCTGTGGTGGCTCTGTAATGTCACACAAGCTTTCTGATTCTATGAGTGAACCAATAACCAATAGCGAGGGTGCAACCTTTACGTGTTTGCACCATCTTACTTTATTCTTCAATAAAGTTATACTACTTCTAGATATTTTTATAAAAGATCAACTTTTTCATAATTTAATCTATTGCCAATCCAAATACTTTCTATTTAGGTGTAGGAGCTTCGAAATCATATCACTCTATTTATTAACAATTGATTCGATTTAAATTTTGATTTGAATTTTACACGATTTTTTTTTAAATTTAAATTTAATTTATTATAAGTTTATGAATAATTTGACTCAATTTGTTAGATTAATTTTATTAGATTCACTTTCCTTATTTCAAAGATTTAAAAAAAGAAAATTTAAGTCAATTTTTTTTAATATATTTAATATTTTAAATTAATATATTTTATAAAAATAAAATATTAAAATAAAATATAATTTTAAGATCAGTAAACATTGAATATTCAAAGCCTTGTATCTAATTAAATTAAAATAAAATTTAAAAATAATATAAAAGTTATATGCTACAAAATTTTAAAAAGTATTATCTTCCTAAAGATAGTTTAAAGGCAAATAAAGATATATGTTTTTTTTTTTTAATTTAAAAATATTTTTATATGATGTATATTTTCTTAAAAGATATTTAGAAGATATTTTTTTAAAGTAAAAGAAATTTAGAAGATATATTGAATTTTCTTAAATTTTAAGAAATTTAAAAGATATTTTATAACTAGAAAATATATGTTAATTTTTAAATGATTTTTTAAACATAATTTGTATGATATTAATTTTATTTGTATTATTATTTTTAGAAATATTTTGCTTACTTGAATATAAATTATCAATTAAAAAAGTTAAATTAAAAGAAATATATTAAGATTTAGATCTTTAAATATACACTTAAAGACAATATAATCATTATGATATATAATTAAATTGATTTATTAATCTAACAAGTCAAACTATATATAATTCAAATTCCGTTTATTTAATTAACAAATTTAATTTTTTGTTCAAAATTAATTCACTTAATTCATTTAATTCAACTATTTAATTGTTGAATCAAGTTCCAATCTATATTTGAATTAGTTTGGTTCATTTCCAACCTTATCTCTATTCAACTTTTTCAATTAATAATATGTTAGATTTAAGATTTTAAAATATTGTCTTTTAAACATTTGTTAATAAGTTTATTTAAAAATTTGTTTTATTTTCATATAATTTTTATAATAAAATTTATTTAATTACTTTGAATATTTATAAAATTTAAATATTTAATTTTTATATAATTTATAAAGTTTCTATTGTATTAAAAAAATTAATATGTACCGGCAATAAACAAGTATTTTAAACAGTTGATAGATATATTTCGTAATATTTAAATTGAAAAGGTAAAATATTTAAATTTATTTAATAAAATTTTGAGTGCGAAAAAGATATATAATAGATTTTGAAATAAGATATATAATAGATTTTTAAATAATAGAAATAGAGTTTAAAAGAGATATATTTATAGTGTAAAAAAATTTACGTTGTCATGCAATAAAAATATATTATTTTACCATTTTATATAAACTTTTTAAAAATAATAATTTAACTTAACTGAATTCATAATTATAGTTGATTAACAATATAAAACTTAATACATTACTCATTTTCTCATAGAAATATAATAATATGTATTTAAATCTTTTATAGAAGGTAAATAAAAAGTATTTGGTAAAAGTCTTTATTAAGTATATATGCAGGAGTCCAACTGGCATTGTTAACTTGGAAAGTTGAGATTATAATTAAAAATATATAAGGTACAAACTAAAGAAAATAAAATAAAAGTTTTATCTAATAAAAAATTATTTAATTTTCCCGAAAAATAGTTAATTCACTTAATAGTTTTTCTACAAATTTTGATATCAACACATACTCATAAATCCAAAAATGATGAATTTTAGAAAAAGAAAGCAACTTTTGACCAAAAACTATAAATTTTTGTATTTTCTATCAAGTTTTAAATTGGGTCAAAATTCACTAGGACCAAAACCATAACGAGAAGGAAAGCTGTTTGACCAAAACATCAGATTTTAAATAAAGAAATTAGAATTTCATTTTGAATAAAATAAAAAATTAAAATCATATTTAAATTTGGACGGTAATGTCTTTATTTAATTAGGTCAAATTTTGAAAAAAAATACATCCGCAGAATAAAAACCAGTATAAAAATCTGCAAAATGAAGATAAATATAGACGTATGTAAGATAGATTATTTATGAGTTTGAATATAACGAAAATATTCGTTTATTTCAAAATTTAATATAATTTTTGAATTTTTTAAATACGGTTAAAAACTAAAATTAATATAATATTTATTATTGATTAATTTATTTTGAATAAAAATATAGATAACGAGTATAGATATGACTACTTAAATACTACAAATAGAAATATTGATATTCTTTAATATGAATTCGTATATGAGGATTTTTTATTTATTTTAAAATGTGTGTATGGGTCTAATAATATTATTATTAGGGATAGAAATAGATCACATCAATTAATAAGAATTTATGGCTTAGTTTTAAGTAGAAATGACTTACGTATTTTTTATAAATCTATTTAATTAAAAATGATAGGTCTCAGGTCATAAAAAATATCTTTTAAATCTATTAGACCGATATATTTTAATAAATATGAATGAATTTATTATTTTATATATTATATTTTGTACTTTATATTAAAATATAAAAAGTAAAGTTTAGTTATCTTAAAGAATTTATGAAAATAAGTTCTAAAAATGTTATAAATAATATCATAAATTTTTTCACAAGTTCTCTTAAACAAATAATCTCACAAAACGTTGTTATTATATAAGCTAAAATAAGTCAATGTAAACAAATATTTAATCTCATTGTACTTTTAATTCTCTAATATATTTAAATATTATTTAAATTTTTTATTTACTTATGTTCAAATGATATAGGTTTTTTAAGCATGTTAATAGGCCAATCAAGTCTTCGAAAATGTCATATTCAAGCCAAAGAATAAGCTTATCATAGGCCAAACTTAGACTTTAAAATTTTTAGTAGATCAAACCTAGGCTTGACAAAGCCTAGCTCGACCGAGCCTATTTTCACCTCTGAATACCATGCACAAAACTCTGCTCATAATCATACATGTTTCTTAGTTACTTAACTTTTGCATGCCTTGTACTTATTGTAGCAGTAGAAATATTTAAGACTAAGTCATGGGATTGACTAGACTTGTACAAATCAAAATAAAATCGCCACCGCACTTTATTGTTTCCAAAGGAATGGGAAAAAAGCGAATAACGCAAAAAAAAGGGAAAGATTCAAGGTAAGGGGGTTGGTTATGCAAAGGAAAGGTATTAGCACCCTAAACATCTACGGTACTCCGCAGGAACCTCTTTGTAAAATCTGTATATTTTGGCTATAAAAATATTGTATAAAAAATGGATGGTGGCGGTGAGAAAAGAAATATATATTTATGGTTTTTGCATCCGCCGCGGTTGCGAACCTTTAGTGCCTACGTACCACCTTCCGTGTAATAGGGGATCAGGGTACACGTAGTTCCTCTTTTAAAAATTTTAAAACATAAGTGTGTTGGTCTAATTTTTATGAGATAAAACATCATCGTCATTGTCCGTGTGGAAAATATACCTACTACCCACAATCATGAGAAAGGAGAATTTGCATCATCTCAAGTGGAGGATATGGCTTGGATTTTAAAATCAACAATGCCTCACTCAACACCCAAGTGAAAAATATCTCTTTTCATCACATATTGTAGAAGTATAGTTGTTTGCACCACTACAAGGATTGACAAGAGTCCAATCTTTTTGAGAAAAGTTTAAAGATAAAAGCCAAAGTGGCAAAATGGTTTGAAATGAGATTGATTGACTTTTAGTCTTCTCACAAAAAAAATATCAAAGTATTATTAAGTATATTGAAGTTTATTTATGAAAATATTTTGAAAATGCATGGACCTAAGTCCAAGTTTATTACGAAAGTGGTTCAAGTTAAAAAAACAAGAAGAGTTTTTCAAAAGGAGAGAGAAGATTTTTGAAATTAAAGAAGATGGGAGGAGAAGAAGGGATTATCCTAAAGCATAAGGTAAAAGCTAGGGATAAGAACGATTTAACCAACAAGAAGCCAATACTTGACACTATGAGCCAAGATATAATTCTCATTCTTTGGATTGAAACCAAACAAGCAATGATACTAGACCTCTTGAAAGAACCAAATTTCAAGTGTATTAAGTCTTCACAAAAATTGGACAGAGTAACGGCTGTATACAGCTGAATTCCATATTACAAACAAAGAGTGTAATTACAATAACCTGCACACAAAATAAACAAACAACCCAATGCCTTGAGGTAAACCTCAAGAGCTCCATACAAAATAATCAGATAAGGTCACAAGGTCTCCAATCATAGGCCAAGGTTTCTAATCCTAAGTCCAAAAAGTCCAATGCTCCATAATGCCAAGGATAGTAACCAAATAGTCAAAGTATCATTAAATATTTTTAGGGGTTATGTTGATTATTAGGTGTTTTGAAAAAGAAAAGTAAAGCTCAAGTGAGAAAAAATAAAAATGACAAGAAAGTAAATACTCAAATGAGCAAAGATGAAAATGGCATGAAGTTAAATACTAAAAGTACATAGTGCATAAAAATAAAAGGAGGCATATAATAAAAATAAAGGATAAAGTCAATTATTAGTGATTAGTGGTT